AAGAGGCTGCACTCAAGGAACGTATTTGAAACATAGAGCCCTTAACTCCTACAGAATACAAGGAACGTGCAAGGTGGCAGTGCAGTCAGGTTGATAAGCGAAAATCTATTTCTAGGTGAAATGCGTTGAGGTGTTGTCGCCTAATTTTTGAACAACGAATAGGAAAGTTTAACAGCCGCCGCCTCTAAGACGGGATGAAAGAAAGTCTAAGAGACCTTAAGGGAAACTCCGGATGCCTGTTAATCAAGGGTGAGAACAAGGTTCGAGGACGATGCTAGTACTTCGAGGTACTGATTAATCCAGACCAACCACAGGAAGACTCACTCGAGCTGTAGGTGAAAGCGGATATTATTCCTCCGTTAGATATTGTCACGGAAGTAGTAGAAAGCTTGAAAGGTGACAAGGTTACTGGAATCGATGAAATCCACTTTGAAATGTTTCAAGCGTTAGGCGAATAAGACATATTGTGGGTAAGACGTGTCTCTTAAATGGCAACGGCTGCGGAGAACGAGGATTGTAGTACCCCTGTTGAACAAAGGAGACAAAACGGGATGCTTTGATTACCGAGTCATTACCTCATTGAGCATCCCGGGGTAAAATCTATGCATAAATGTTAGAAGGGTGATGCCGCGGAATTACAGACTCCGAGTCACTTGAGGTCAGGTCGAAATACCTCTGACCAGATTCTCGCCAGATTGTTGAGAAGTCGTAGAGATCTTCAGCTAACATTATATAGCAACAGGTGTATTCAGTATATTACACTTGAAGGGAAACCGGAAATTTACAACATCCAAATGTGACTGCGTTGAAGACGATGGCCATAAATATCAAATCATGTGCACTGACGTGCATTCTGGCAGAGAGAAACAAAACTGCATGAGAATTGCACAGCATCTGACCTGCAGAGTTAAACAACAAAACGAGAGAAAAACTGCCCATGACCACAGTCAAGAAAAAGAGAAAAACAGTTAATACACAACATATCACAAATTGTGCAGCATAAAGCACTGCGAGGAAATACAGCGTAACGTCGGAAATTGTGCTCATGATGAAGACGAGCATAAATCACATGAAAAACAACAACGAAAATAAAGA